TATTAATAATTATTAATTGATGCAATTTCCATCTTGATTATTGGTCTGTTTAGGTTTTCTATGTCTGCATGACTCAATTTTGGTAGATTGTATGTGTCTAGGAATCCATTTCTTCTAGGTTTCCCAATTTGTTGGCATATAGCTTGTTGTAATTCCTGATGATTCTTTTTATGCCTGTGGAATCTGTTGTTACATTTCCTTTTTCACTTCTGATTTTATTGATTTGGGTCGTTTCCCTATTTTTTTGGTTAGTTTGGCCAATGGTGTATCAATTTTATTTTTAAAAAACGGCTCTTCATTTTCACTGATCTTTTGTATTTTTTTGTTTCAAATTTGTTTATTTCTTCTTTAATTTTAATTATTTCTTTTCTCCTACTAGTTTTGGGTTTGGCTTGCTGTTGTTTTTCTAGATCCTTGAGATGCATTGATAGCTCATTTATTTGGTACCTTTCCAATTTCTTTATGTTGGCACCGATTGTTATAAGTTTCCCTCTTAATACTGCTTTTGCTGTATCCCATACTTTTTTTTTTTTTTTAGTTTTTAAGCTTTTTATTCAATGAGAGAAATGCATAGGAGAGTGAGGGCCCTATCTAAAAGAGAGAGAAATCTGGATTCATATCAAGTACCAGGAGCCAGCCATATGCAGGAGCATGCAGGCAAGGAAGCATGGGGCAGGTGGCCCAAAGGCCATGCACCCTGGAGGCTGAGGGCAGCATGGGCCCATAATGGCAAAAGGCCAAAGAGAAGGGCTGGGCTCACTGTGTCCCCAGCATTTAATCCACTTCCAGAGGGGAGTGGTTAATTAATCTGATTTGCCGGTGGGCACACAGGTGTGCCCAGGAAGGGGCATGAGGTCACACAGGGGCATGGTGAAGGTGTGGTCTTTCAGCTCACAAACCGGATCAGTTTCATCCTATATGCCTGCCTACATCATTCCCACCTCAGAGACTCCATTCCCTTAATCCTAAGGTATGTTGAAGGGCATAGAATCATCCATTTTCTGTAGCTGCTTCATGCTTAAGAGGGACGTAGTGCAGGCCCTAACTGTCTGGGTCTGGAAGTCTCTATCTTATCTAACAAATTTGCTTTGTCAACTGGTCCCATATGTTTTGATATGATGTATTATCATCTTCAGTCATTTCCAGAAATTTTTTGATATCTCTTTTGATTTCTTCTATGACTCACCATTCATTCAGAGGCGTGTTGTTCAGTCTCCATGTGTTTGCATATGACGTAGAGGTTCTTGAGTTGTCGACTTCCATCTTCATTCCATTGTGGTATGATTTGGATTTTTCTTTTAATTTGCTGGGACTTGCTTTATGGCCTTAGCATATGGTCTATCCTAGAGAAAGTTCCATGCACTGATAAGAATGTGTATCCTGAAACTGTGGGTCGAAAAGTTTTGTAGATATCAATTAGGTCCATTTGGTCTATAGTGTAGATTAGCTCTGTTGTTTCTTTTTTGGTTTTCTGTCCAGTTGATCTGTCCGTTGATGAAAGTGGTTGCTCATGAGAACATTTCAGGCATGGAAAGTCAAGACATAATGGCAAAAACTCTTCTGTATAAAGAATCTCTGTGAGTGAGACCACAGTGGAAAAAAGGGACCATCAAAGAAGGATATACTTTTCTATGAAGGGAGGAAAGAACTTCCACTTTGCATATGGCCCTGTCTAAAAACTGACAGAGTTTGTGGACTCAAAAGGCTTTCATAGCCTTGGAAGCTCATGTCAAGCTCAAGCCTTGGATGGTCACTGACGTAAAAAATGAGTGCTAATTTTTAATTCGACACCAGGAGTCATTGTGCACTTACTCCCCATGCTGGATCTCTGTCCTTAATGAGGTGTACTATGAGAATTAATGGTAAAACTTGTCTTCAAAATGTACTTTATGCTTTGTGTGTCTGTGTGGGTGCAAACTGTTGAAATCTCTACTTAGTATAGATAGTTGATCTTCTGTATATAAAGTCAATGAAAATGAATCTTAATAAACAATGGAATGAGAGAGGGAGTAGGAGGTGGAAGGGAGTGGGGGTGGGAGGATGGGAATGAGGCAGAAGAACCACTATAATCCTAAAAGCTGTACATATGAAATTTGTATTCATTGAATAAAAACCTTCTAAAAAAAGAAAGTGGGTTATTGAAGACTCCCATTACTATTGTATTAGAGTCTTTGTCTCCCTTTAGATCCCTTAACATTTCTTTTAAATAGCTAGGTGCCCTGTAATTTGGTACATATACATTTATTATAGTCACATCTTCCTGTTGAATTCATCCCTTCATCATTATATAGTGCCCTTCTTCATCTCTTTTAGCAGTTTTTATGTAAGGTCTATTTTGTCTGATATTAGAATGGCAACAGCTGCCCTTTTTTGGTTTCTGTTACCATGGAATATCTTTTTCCATCCTTTCACTTTCAGTCTACATATATCTTTGCTGGTGAGAAATGTTTCTTTTAGGCAGCAAATAGATGGGTATTTTTTTAAAGATTTATTTATTTATTTGAAAGTTGAAGTTACACAGAGAGAAGAGAGACAGAGAGACAGAGAGACAGAGAGAGAGGTCTTCTATCTGATGGTTCACTCCCCAATTGGCCGCAACAGCTGGAGCTGTGCTGATCTGAAGCCAGGAGCCAGGAGCTTCTTCCAGGTCTCCCACGTGGGTGCAGTGGCCCAAGAACTTGAGCCATCTTCTGCTGCTTTCCCAGGCACAGCAGAGAGGTAGATCAGAAGTGGAACAGCCGGGACATGAACTGACGGCCACATGGTGCTTCAGGCCAGGGCGTTAACCCAATGCGCCAGAGCACCAGTCCAGATGGGTCTTTTTTAATCCATTCAGCCACTCTGGGTATTTTAACTGGAGAATTGAGAGGCCATTTATATTCCAGGTGTCTATTAATAAGTAATTATTTGGCTGACAGAGGCATTTCTTTTTTTTTTTCTTTATATTTTATTTTATTTAATGAACATAAATTTCCAAAGTACAGCTTATGGATTACAATAGCTTCCCCCTCCATAACTTCCCTCCCACCCACAACACTCCCCTCTCCCACTCCCTCTCCCCTTCCATTCACATCAAGATTAATTTTCAATTATCTTTATATACAGAAGATCAATTTAGCATATATTAAGTAAAGATTTCCACAGTTTACACCCACACAGAAACACAAAGTGTAAAATACTATTTGAGTACTAGTTATAGCATTAATTAAACACCTAAGAGTAATTGTGTATTAATTACAGAGTTCAACCAATAGTTTTAAGTAGAACATAAAATACACTAAAAGGGTAAAGTATTAAGTTCTTTTTTTTCTTTTTTCTTTTTGTTTGTTATATAGTTATTTTTTTATTTAATAAATGTGAATTTACAAAGTGCAACTTGTGTATTGTTGTGGCTCCCCACCCCAACCTCCCTCCCTCCCGTGGCCCTCCCCTCTCCTACTCCCTCTCCCATCCCGCCCTTCATCGAGTTTCATTTTCAATTAATTACTTTCATATACTGAAGATCAACTTAGTATATAATAAGCAAGGATTTCAACAGGCTGCACTCACACAACCGCACAAGGTATAGGGTATTGTTCGACTAGTAGTGTTGTTTTTAAGTTTCATAGTAAAGCACATTAAGGACAGAGATCCTACTTGGGGAGCATGTACCCAGTGACTCCCGTTATTGATTAACAATTGGTACTCTTATTTATGATGTCAGCAATCACCCGAGACTCTTGCTATGAGCTGTCTAGGCTATGGAAGCCCCTTGAGTTCACGGACTCTGAACTTGTTTAGTCAAGACCATATCACAGTGGAGGTTCCTTCCTCCCTTCAGAGAAAGGCGGACAGAGGCATTTCTAAGGAGTCTGTATTGTCTTTATATATTAACAGACACCTAATTGCATCAGAATAAATTGGATCATGACTTATGTGCTGTGACTTCTATCTGTTTCTTCAGGAAAATTTAGTTAAATTTAGGCTAAGTGTATCATTAGGATAATACAGCAGTTCATGTTGTAATTGTGTCTTTGGGAACAAAAGGATAGAACATATAACTTCCACCTACTTTTAGAAACTGTCCCTTCAGATCAGAGCAGCGCGCTGGCCGTGGTGGCCATTTGGAGGGTGAACCAATGGAAAAAGGAAGACCTTTCTCTCTCTCTCTCTCTCTCTCTCTCTCTCTCACTGTCTAACTCTGCCTGTCAAAAAAAAAAAAAAAAGAAACTGTCATATGTGCATACCCTGTTGACATAATGTTCCTTTCAGATTTGTCACAGATGATTGACCTATGACATTCTACTCTCCCTTGGAAATTTCTTTCTGTCTTCACATTGAATACAACAAAGTAAAAGAATTGTTTTGTTTCTTTTAAGTTTATCTAAAAAAATTAAGTGTCATAATTTAGTTTAATATAGTGAAGAATACAGAATGAAAGAAAAATGATCTATATCACTACTCTGAAACCCCTATTAATATTAAAATGAAACTTAACTATTTAAATAAATCCCAAGTTCAAATAGTACCAAGAGATAGAAAAGGAAAGTCTAATTTTTCATAATTCCCTGTTCTCTGTCCTTGATGGCCACTATTAAAGGTAACTACTATTAGTAGTTTCATACTTTTCTTTTAGAAACATGCATACCAGTATTTTTGTGTATTCATTCTTTCAATTTATCTATCAGTACTTTCACTCATTTATTGATTCAAAAAATATTTGTTGAGAGCCTATTATGTGTCAGTTATAATTTTGTCCCTTGGGAATATAACAGTGAGCAGATTCCAGAAGGTCTCTTATGGAACTTAGAGTCTAGGAAAGAGAAAAAAAGGGAAATAAATAAGAAAACAAGATAACTTTAGTTTGTTCAAAATATTATAAGTGATTTGATATGATGGTGCTGTTAGTTAAGGTGGCTAATAATGACCTCTGCTTATGTAAGTTATTAAATTTTACTGAGCAAAGAAAAACATGGAAAGACTCAAACAATGTTTGACCTATGTTATTTCTTTTTCTAAAGGTGAAGCTCCACCTGCCAGCCAGTTGCCCACACCTCCCGTCCAGCGCCCAAGCCCCATCACACTTTTCCAGCCTAGCGTCTCCAGTGCTGCCCAGGTGGCTGTCCAGGCTCCAAGTCTGCCTCTCCGCCCAGCACTCCCACCTCAGCATTTTGCTGGGCCTTCTCAAACGGACACTCATCGGCTGCATTCTGGAGCCAGTCGCTCTGTGAAGAGACCCACTCCTGTCTCTCTGGAGAATACCAGTAGGATTCCAACTACTCCAAGTACTGCCCATGCCAGATTTGCACCCTCGACCATCCAACCTCCAAAGGAGTATTCCAGCATTTCCAGTTGTCCAAGAAGTGCTCCCATAGCCCAGGCTCCTCCCATTCCACACCCACATGTCTACCAACCCACACCCCTCGGCCATCCAGCCACACTGTTTGGGACACCACCAAGATTCTCTTTTCATCACCCTTACTTCCTACCCGGACCTCACTACTTCCCATCAAGGTAAATTAAAATTTTTTTTTCTTTCACCAAAAAATACAGCTAATGAAGTTTTCAACTCTGGAGGTATCTCTTTTTTAGTGAGAAGGGGGCTTCTTTAATTCTGCTTGGAATCTAATTTAGAGGTTGAATAGGAGCCAAAAAATTGATTTAAACAAATAGAGTCAAATGAGTAGGCGAGGTAGAGAGAATGTACAGTCCATCTAATGGGACAGCAGCTACTCAGTTCCAGTCAGCTCTTGGCATGTGAAAATACAGGCTTCAGTGCTGCCAGATGTGAATTTTCATGGGAAACAGCCATGAAGGACCTTAGTGTCATTTAGTCAAATCCAGTTGTTGCATAGAGCTGAATTTCTGAAAGTTTAGCTAGATATAATTCCTATGATATCCTGATAAAAAATGCGGCTTCTGATTCCTTTTTTTAGGGTATTCTGTACTATCAGTCTGCATTTCTAACAAGCTCCCTAGTGATGCCAACTTTTTTTGTGGGGAACACTTTGAATAGCACAGGTATAGAAGAGGGCACTTGGTCAAAGAGAGGTTAAGTAACTAGTTCAAAGTTACGCTTCCTCTTAGTGTTCTTTTTAACAAACCAGAATATTTCCCATGTGAATTGCCAATACAGGAATTTATTTTTATAGGGAAGTACCTAAGTAAAACAAATGTGTAACTTTTAATTTTGGGATGATGCAGTTCAACTCCATTGCAAGTATAACAAAGTAGTATGCAAGTATGATAAATTATGATAAAGTAGTACTAACCTGTACTTTCATTTTTAAAATTGATTGATTGATTGATTGATTGATTGATTTGCAAGGCAGAGACAGAGAGCTCTTGTTCACCAGTTGACTCCTCAATGCCTGCAACAGCCCTGGCTGGATCAGGTCAAAGCCAAGATAGGGTAACTCAATTCAGCTGTTAATTTCTAGCAGAAAGTCATATGGAAATATATACTTTTTAATGGAAAAGTCGTATAGTTAAACGGACTTTGGGGCAAGTAATTCTTCCTATTTATTAAATAGATTAAATCATAGCAAATCTATCTTCTGTACTCGTGTCAAGGCTTATAGGATTTGTCTTTTAGTATACAAATCATCTGACACTTTAAAGAACATTTTCAAAGGAAGCTTCTGAAAAGAAGTCCATAGAAGACAGAAATTACAGCATGTTCTTTAATACAGATATTTCTGTGTAATAGTTTTATTGAAAGAACCAAATGAAGTGAATAAGTAGTATTATACTGAATTTTATTTCATTTAAAGTGTCAACACTCTACATCAACTATAAACATTAAGCTACATGTACTTAGCCAAAACCGAAAACCAGCCTTTAAAAAAAAAAAAACTTATTTATTTATTTATTTGAAAGTCAGAATTGGAGAGAGGGAGAGACAGGGATCTTCCATTTGTTGGTTCACTTCCCAGGTGGCCACAACATGTGAGGTTGTACCAGGCCAAATCCAGGAGCAAGTAACTTCTTCCAGGTCTCCCATGTGGGTGGCAGAAACCCAAGCACATGGGCCATGTGCTGCTGCTCATCCCAGGCCACTAGCAGGGAGCTGAGAGGGAAGTGGAGCCGCTAGGACTTAAACCAGCATGTCCATATGGGATGCCGGTATCATAGGAGGTGGCCTTACTAGCTATGGCATGGTGCTAGCTAGCCCCTGGCCTTTTAAACTGTAATATTTTCTTGTTGCTTTTCTGACTTCTATCTTCTCTTTTTTATCTTCTATCTTCTATTTTCCCAAGGAATTGGATAATCTCATTAATTTGCTTGGCAAGATGGCTTTTAGTAAAATATATCCTGGTTAAATGACAGAATTAATTGATTCTCTCTCAATTCTTCTCTTAATTGTAAATGACATTATATATATATATATATATATAAATATAAAACATGAGTGTATCTAATGTGTGTACTTATAAATATTGTGTGTATATATGTATTTAATTTATTAGATAGTACAGTTTGCCCTGTGTATCTAGAGTAAAAATCAAGTAGCTTAGGTTGTTTAATCAAGGAGTCATTTGATAAAACAAATGGACATTCACAAGTGCTGAGTCTTCTGAGGACGAATGTCTTCTGCTTTCAAGTCTTAACCATCTTCATACCGTGCTTATTGAAATATTTTCTGTGTACTACATTAATTTCTTAGACTAATTATTTTATTCTCACTACCCCTTTCTCTTCCGTCTTCTTGCAGTATATTCTACTTTGACATTCAAGGGAGCAAAATAGGATCTTATTTTGTTGATCATTGAGTAAAAAAAAAAATCTATTGCAATTAGTGAGACAGAAAGTATATATAAGAGAAAAATGGAGATTTTTGGCTTGAAATAAATAGCAAATATACCCAGATATAGATGATAGAGAAGGTAAATATAAATCATTCCTGTATTTGTAGGAATAAATGCAATCATAATTTTTACTTCTTAAAATTTTAAGCAGAGAAATCTAAGATTAAAGACAATTCCCCTTAACTTTTGTTTGGAACACAGAGCTATTTGAAGTCATGGGCTCTCCCCATAACAGCATACGTACACACACACAGACACACACACACACACACATATATCTATATATATGTATTTCCTTAGATATATGAATACTCACACACACACATACACATACTCAAACACATTTATAAACACATGAACTTTTGCCTAAACTAAAATGAAGGAAACTTGGAATCCCAAAACATGACAGATACAGTTACATAGAATGTCTTCTGTGGTAACTACTTAGAAATACTGGATTCTAGGGCCAGCGTTGTGGTATAACAGGTTAAGCCTTTGCCTGCAATGCTGCTGGTATCCCATGTGGATGCCAGTTCGAGACCTGGCCACTCCACTTCTGATCCAGCTCTCGGCTAATGTGCCTGGGAAAACATCAGAAGATGGCCCATGTGCTTGGGCCCCTACACCCACATAGGAGACCCAGATGAAGCTCCTGGCTTCTGGCTTTGTATTGGCCCAGCTTCAGCCATTGTGGCTATTTGGGGAGTGAACCGAAGAATAGAAGATTCTCTCTCTTTCCTCTCTCTCTCTCTCTCTCTTTCTGTGTGTGTGTGTGTATGTGTTTATGTGTCCTCCTCTCTCTGTAACTCTGCCTTTTAAATAAATACAAAATAAATCTTAAAAAAGTTGGATTCTACCTAGAATGATGAAATGAACTTTAAAATATTTTGCTTAATTCATCAGAAAGAAGATGATTATGTGCCAAAATGACCAAGAAGCTGAAAAGTAGTTCAAGTAGTTCTGGCAGTGGTTTTCAGATTCAGAAATAGTCTTGGGCCGGTGTCACGGCTCACTTGGCTAATCCTCCGCCTATGGCACTGACACCCCAGATTCTAGTCCCAGTCAGGGTGCCAGATTCTGTCCTGGTTGCTCCTCTTCCAGTCCAGCTCTCTGCTGTGGCCCGGGAAGGCAGTGGAGGAGGGCCCAAGTGCTTGCGCCCTGCACCAGCATGGGAAACCAGGAGGAAGTACCTGGCTCCTGGCTTTGGATTGGCGTGGTGCGCGGGCCGCAGCACGCCGACCACAGTGGCCATTGGGGGGTGAATCAACGGAAAAGGAAGACCTTTCTCTCTGGCTCTCTCTCTCTCTCTCTCACTGTCTAACTCTGTCAAAAAAAGAGAGAGAGAGAGAAATAGTCTCAGTGGTTATAAACTTTGGTTTTAATGATTGCATACAGAGAAGAGATGACACTTTGACCTTCTCAAGGTGTGGACTGAAACTAAAACCTCTCCATGATGCTAGGACACAGGAAGGACTTTTCAACCTTGATATACAAATTTCTGTGTATTGACTTTGTATCCTGCTACTTTACCAAACTCTTCTATGAGTTCCAATAGTCTCTTAGGTGGAGTCTTTTGGATCCCATAAAAATAGGATCATGCCATCTGCAAATAGGGATAGCTTGACTCCCTCTTCCCAATTTGCTTCCCTTTGATTTCTTTTCCTTGCCTAATGGCTCTGGCTGAAACTTCTAGGGCTATATTGAATAGCAGTGGTGAGAGTGGGCATCCCTGTCTGGTAGTGGATTTCAGTGGAAATGCCTCCAGCTTTTCCCCATTCACTATGATGCTGGCCATGGGTTTGTCATAAATTGCCTTGATTGTGTTGAGGAATGTTCCTTCTAAACCTAATTTGCTTAAAGTTTTCATCATGAAAGGGTGTTGTATTTTGTCAAATGCTTTCTTTGCATCTATTGAGATAATCATATGGTTTTTGTTCCTCAATTTGTTAATATGATGAATCACATTGATTGATTTTGAATGTTGAACCACGCTTTGATACCAGGGATAAATCCCACTTGGTCCGGGTAAATGATCTTTCTGATGTGTAGTTGGATTCGATTGGCCAGGATTTTGTTGAGGATTTTTGCATATATGTTCATCAAGGAGATTGGTCTATAGTTTTCTTTCTCTTGTTGTGTATTTTCCAGGTTTAGGAATTAAAGTGATATAAGCTTCATAGAAAGAATTTGGGAGGATTTCCTCCCTTTCAATTGCTTTGAATAATTTGAGAAGAACTGTGGTTAGTTTGTTAAATGTCTGGTAGCATTCAGCAGTGAAGTCTGGGCTCTTTTTTGTTGGGAGGGCATTTATTATTGATTCAATTTCTTTCTTGGTTATAGTCTGTTTAGGTTTTCTTTGTCTTCATGGCTCAATTTAGGTTAGTTGTATGTGTCCAGGAATCTATCCATTTCTTCTAGGTTTCCCAGTTTATTGAAATACAGCTCTTTGTAGTAGTTTCTGATGACTTTTTATTTCTGTGGTGTCTGCTACATTTCCTTGACCATCTCTAATTTTATTGATTTGAATCTTCTCTCTCCTTTTTTTTTTTTTTTGTTAGTTTGGCCAATGGTGTGTCAATTTTGTTTATTTTTTCAAAACACCAGCTTTTCATTTTGCTGATCTTTTGTATTTTTTTTTTTTTTGGTTTCAATTTTGTTGATTTCTTCTCTAATTTTAATTATATCTTTTCTTCTTCTGGTTTGGGG